GACATGGGGAGCTGAAGCCTTCTCCCCTCTGCCTGACTTGGGTCCAATGGGCCTAGCACCGAGTGGGGCTGTGGTTTGCAGGTCTGAGTGCTCAAAGCAGTGCTGCTGCTGTGGTTGGGCTCCTGGACCACTACAGCCACAGCCCAGTGAGTGTGGGGAAAGGTCAGCTCAGCTTTGGTGTGGCCACAGGTTGCTGTGTCCCTCCTGGTCCCCTCTGTGCCCACTCTTCTCCAGGCATGGCTGCTCAGTTGTCTTGGCACCTGGGGCTCCCTGGCTCTGTCAGGAGGGATTAGCTCTGTTCTGTTTGATTGCAGTCCCCACACGAGGCAGTGCTGGAGGGTCTGGGCTACGTCCTCTCACAGCTCCTCCAAGCCAAGGAAGCTCCCACAGAGATCATCCCGTGAGTCTGAGCCTCTGAAACCTCTGAGCCCTGCGCCAGGATGGGCCCTGGGGCCTGGCGTGGTATTTGCGTGCTGGGGACAGGACACCTTTCCCATCCCAGTGACATTAATAGTTCAGGGCAGAATCCTAGCAGAATTGTGGAGGGTTTGATGCAGATGAGGGCACAGGGCTTGGCTCCTTTCCCTCAGCCTCATCCGAGCAGACAGCTCTGGTATTTCGGTAAAGGCCAGCACAGAGCAGGGCAGGCTTGCAGGGACATTCTGCCTGTGTCCCTCCTGAGAAGGAAAAGATCAGCTTCACAGCCCCAGTGCCAAAAATGTGACCCCAGCCAAGGTGTCCTGAGTGCCCCCAGGCCCTGCCATGAGGCTGCAGCCCTTGGCTCAGAGTCTCTTCCAGGTGTGTTTTTGGAGCATGTGGCTCCCCAGTACAGGGGAGAGCAGCTTCCTGCTCAGTGGCCAGGTCTAGTGTCTGCCTATCAGTGTCTGTCCTACCTGTGCCTCTGCTAACTCTGCTGTCTGACCCCAGCTTGGTCCTGGACTCTGCTCTCCCCCAGCACATGCTTCGACTGGTTTGCTCTAGCCTCAGGGATGGGATGGGAGCAGCTGTGGAGTTTGCATGGTGTTTCCACTACATCATTTGTAGGTAAATGTGTTTTACTCCTCGTTTTGAGTTCCCTGGGGGCAGCCAAACAGAGGCTTTGGGTCCTGCAGGGGGACTTGGATTGCCTTCCCTTGCCCTTTTCCTTTGGGAAAGCAATTTACCTGCCATTCTGGTCATCCCCATTCTCATACATGAACACACGTGCTGTTTTCAGGATCACTGAGCTCCTTTACAGGGTAGTAATGGGTGATAAACCTGAGGAGCCTGTTTCTAGTCCTCTGAAATGCCCCTAAATCACCTCCCCATGTCTGGAGTTCTTCCCCACACTTCCCAAGGCGAACTCCCCAAATCCTCGCACTTCTGGGGTTGGCCCAGTGCCACCCTGACCAGGCTGGCTGTGCCAGTAATCCCTGCCTGCCATTGGAGCCAGGAAATCTGTGGATACTCAAAGAAGGGTTGAGGCTGTTGTTTCCAGAGCCACACAGATAATTTCAGTGGATCTCTTTCTCAGGGGCTTTTAAACTTTCTTAAACTTTCTCAAGCTCAGAAACAAGCTGCTAGTCCAACATGAAATAAGCCACTATTCCTACAGGAAAGAAGCCCTGTGGTGGTTCTGGGGAGCACTCTGAACTTCCAGGCCCTGTTGTTTGGTGAGGGGCTGTGGCAGCTGTCCCTCTCCAAGCCTCAGGAGCCTCTCTGCTGTCCCTTCTCTCTGCAGGCACACAGTCAACACGGCACTGCTGGCACTGGGGGCTGTGCCTGCTCTCACCTCGCTCCTGCTCAACTTGGCTTCCCAAACCTCCCAGGATGCTCCTGAGGGCCTGGAGCTGGTGAGAGGCAGGTGGGGTGCTGGCTGCTGTCAGGAGTGCTGTGTGGACACGGTGAGGCTGAAGGGCTCTGTGTGTCCCTCTGTCACAGCTCGTGTGCCCTGTGTTGCGGTGCCTCAGCAACCTGCTGGCGGAGGAGACAGGCTGCCAGGGGCAGGGCCAGGACGAGCGCCTGCTCATCGCCCTCTTCCTCATCCTGCAGTACTCCCTGCAGCAGCACTCCTTCCTCATCCAGGAGTGCCTGTGGCTGCTGAACAACCTCACAGGTCAGTGGCAGCACAGCTGGAGCTCTGCCGGGACCTGCCCTGGTGTTAACCGACACATTCTTTCTGTCCCACCCCAGCGGATGATTCCTTCTACTGCTCCACTCTGCTCTCCCTGGACCTGGTCCCAGCCCTGCTGCAGCTCCTGCCCTGTTCTCAGATGGCCAGGGTGTTGGTAAGAGCTTGCCTCCTGTCTTGGGAATGGTGGGGAACCACTGGAGTTTCAGGAACATGAATCCCACACTGACAGTGCTCAAGTTGGAGGTGAATGGGGCAGTAGGGACAGCTTGGCAGAAGGTCTCATTGTGGCAGTAACCATCCACCTTCCCTGAAGCCACTACAGCTGCATTTACCCTTGGCAGAGCCTTGTCCCAACAGAAATGAGGTCCCAAGGCAGATGTTAACTTGGGGCCACCTGGAGTGGGCATGGGGAAGCTCCTGCCACCTTCTTCTGGAAGATCTCAAAGCATTACGGGGTCCTGGGATACACCTCTGCCAAGGGGTGAGTGGTACAGCTGGGTCTGCCTGGCACAGGAATGAACAGTGCCATGGGGTGGGTATGGAGGGGGCTTGTAAAGAGCATTCCAAATCCAGCAGGTGGGTGGGCACATGGCTTTGGGGAGGCACCTGGCAGGGTAAAACGGAAGCTGGAGAGGGACTTGGGTCAAGGGCCTGGAGTGTCAGGACAAGGGAGAAGGGCTTCCCACTGCCAGAGGACAGGGTTAGATGGGGTATTGGGAAGAAATTCTGCCCTGTGAGGGTGCTGAGGCACTGGAACAGGTTGCCCAGAGCAGTGGGGGTGCCCCATCCTGGAAGTGTTCCAGGCCATGTTGGATGGGGCTTGGAGCAACCTGGGCTAGTGGAAGGTGTCCCCTCCCATGGCAGGGGTGGAATTGGATGACATTTAAGGTCCCTTCTAACCCAAACCAGCCTGTGATTCCATGACATGGGAGTTGTTTGCAGCCCTCCTGAGCCTGTCAGGAATGTGCCCACCTTGGAGGTGTTCACTGCTCTCTCCCCCTCACGCAGGGCCTGACAGTGCTGTGCAATGTGGCAGAGAAGGGCCCAGCCCACTGCCAGCAGCTGCTCCTCCAGCCCACCCTGTCCCTGCTGCTGCCCACCCTCACCATGCCTGACCCCAAGGCTGTGGGGCAGTGCCTGGAGCTGCTGCACCTCCTCTTCCTGCACTGCCCAGAGGTGAGAATTCTGCCCTGTGAGGGTGGTGAGGCACTGGCACAAGTTGCCCAGAGAAGCTGTGGCTGCCCCATCCCTGGAAGTGTTCCAGGTCAGGTTGGATGGGGCTTAGATCAACCTGGGCTAGTGGGAGGTGTCTCCGCCCATGGCAGGGCGTGGAACGAGATAAGCTTTAAGGTTCCTCCCAGCCAGCCATCAGCATGGTGGGATTTACCTGGCTTGGGAATGTACTGTCTGGGAAGGATCTGGGGAATTCCCTCAGCCCCATTCCCTGGGATGTGGTGGCTGTGGGCAGGCAGGATCAGTTGTAGCACCTAGCCAGCTCTCACTCTTCTCCCCTCACAGGCTGCTGCTGATTTCACCAGGCTGGGTGGGCACCAAGCCCTGGAGCAGCACCAGAGCACCCCAGACCTGCAGGAGAGGGCACAGGCACTGCTGGACATGCTCAGACAGCCCCCAGGAGCCTTCAGCCCCTGCCACACCACACTGTCTGCCTTCTCCTAGGCCTCACCACCTCCTGCCCTCCCAGAGGGAAGAAACTGTGTGCTCACCCCATGCCCAAGGGCTGGTCAGGGCTCTGGTGGACCTGTAACCATCAGCAAGCTGCCCTGTGCCCCTACCAGAGCCTGGAGCAGGGGCAGAGCTGAGCTGCAGCCCAGGCAGACACACTCCTGGTGCCAGGGAGGTGTTGAATGGCTGGATCAGCCATTCCTTTGGACTTTCAACCACCACGCAGAGCTCAGGGTAAGCACATTGTGTTTATGGATTGGTAAGTTAAAGACACATGTTTGACATTAAATATCATCAGTCAAGTCTCCAGCACTGGTGTGTTCACTGTCTTGTCCTCATGCTTGGCTTTTCACCACGCTCTCCAGGGCCTTGGCCACTTCATCCACAGTGAGGTTGTTCAGTGGGATGCTCTTCTCCTTCCCAAACTCTGCAGGAAACACAGAGGGTGAGAGCACAGGTGTGATAGTCCTTTTCTGGTGCAAGGGCAACCCAAACCTTGCTCCGAGCTTCCAAACACACTGCCCAGGCTCCCACCAGCACCTCACACCCATCACCCCCAGTGTCCCTCCCTGCACCCAAGTTATCCACCTTCTCCTTATTATCCTTTCCCTTGGAGAGAAGCCAAAGCAGCCCAATACCTTTCACAGTTCTTGTGTATCGAATGGGGTAGGGGTGTGAGATCACAGCCACAGGCTGAAAATCACCTGCTCAGCCCTAGAGCATTCTTCTGCTCCTCCCAGGTCATGTCTTTGAAGTGAGCCCACCACCGCCCTGAGGGCAGCTGCTCCTTCTCCATCAACGTCCCTCACTGTAACCCCTGAAACCTGAGCCACTGGCACAGGTTTCCCAGAGCAGCTGTGGCTAGTGTTCAGCCTGGAGAGGAGAAGGTTTCAGGGAGACCTTAGAGCCACTTCAAGTGCCTAAACTAAAGGGGCGAGCTGGAGAGGGACTCAGGATAAGGGCATGGAGTGACAGAACAAGGGGGAATGGCTTTCCACTGCCAGAGAGCAGAGATAGATGGGATACAGGGAAAGAATTCTTCCCTGTGAAGATGCTGAGGCACTGGCACAGCTTGCCCCGAGTAGCTGTGGCTGCTCCATCCCTGGGAGTGTTTCAGGCCAGGCTGGACAGGGCTTGGAGCAATCGGGACTCAGGATAAGGGCATGGAGTGACAGAACAAGGGGGAATGGCTTTCCACTGCCAGAGAGCAGAGATAGATGGGATACAGGGAAAGAATTCTTCCCTGTGAAGATGCTGAGGCACTGGCACAGCTTGCCCCGAGTAGCTGTGGCTGCTCCATCCCTGGGAGTGTTTCAGGCCAGGCTGGACAGGGCTTGGAGCAATCTGGGCTAGTGGAAGGTGTGGAGTGAGATAAGCTTTAAGGTCCTTCCAACCCAAACCATTCCAACCCGACCCATTCCCGGACTGTCACTTTCCCCCTCCCCTCGGCCGGTGCCACCCCGCACTTACCATACCGAGCCCAGAGCTTGGGCTGCACCCCGGAGCACTCCCGGATCAGGATGGGAAACTCAGGGTTTGCCTTCTTCAGCGTCACATAGTGCTGCTCGATGAACTCCCTGCGGAGAGACACCGCATCGCTGCGGCTG